GCTGTACTGGGGGCACTGGGCTGTACTGAGAGGGCACTGGGGGGGGGCTCAGGTGTCCCATGACAACGTGGCCCAGCTCCAGGAGAGATCCAGGGAGCAGTGAGGAGGTACTGCTCTGTACTGGTTTGTACTGGTCTTTCCTAGTTTGTACTCTCAATCCCCAAAGCCCCTCCCCAGCTCCCCCAGGACCCTCCCAGACCCCAAAGCCCCCCAGGCCCCCCCAGACCCCTGACTTGGTCCTACTGCCCCTTGAGCATCTGCAGCTCCTGCAGAACCAGGCATTTCATCAGCAAATTTGCAGCTGACACCAAGCTGGGGGTGTGTTGATGTGCTGGAAGGCAGGAGGGCTCTGCAGAGGGACCTGGCCAAGCTGGATCCATGGGCTGATTCCAGGGGGATGAGGTTCAACCAGGCCAAGTGCCGGGTCCTGCCCTTTGGGCACAACAACCTCCGGCAGCCCCACAGGATGGGGCCAGAGTGTCTGGAGAGCAGCCAGGCAGAAAGGGAGCTGGGAGTGTGGATTGCCAGGCAGCTGAACAGGAGGCAGAATGTGCCCAGATGGCCAAGAGGGCCAATGGATGGTGTCCTGGCTGAGGAAGAGTGTGGCAGCAGGAGCAGGGAAGTGATTCTTCCCCTGGACTGAGCTCTGGTGAGGCCACCCCTGGAGTGCTGTGTCCAGCTCTGGGCCCCTGAGTTGAGGAAGGCCCTGGAGGGGCTGGAGCAGGGGCAGAGAAGAGCAGCGAGGCTGGGGAAGGGAGTGGAGCACAAGCGGTGTGAGGAGAGGCTGAGGGAGCTGGGGGTGTTGAGGCTGGAGAAGAGGAGGCTCAGGGGAGAGCTCCTGACTCTCTGCGAGTCCCTGCCAGGAGGTTGTAGCCAGGTGGGGGTTGGTCTCTTCTGCCAGGAAGCAGCAGTAGGACAAGAGGGCTGGGTCTTGAGCTGTGCCAGGGGAGGTTTAGGTTGAATATTAGGAAGAAATTCTTTCCCGAGAGAGTCATCAGGCATTGGAATGGGCTGGGCAGGGAGGGGGTGGAGTCACCATCCCTGGAGGTGTTGAAGGTGAGAGTGGATGTGGCATCAGTGCCATGGTCTGGGAACCACGGTGGGGTTGGATCAAGGGTTGTATTGGAGGTCTTTTCCAACCCGACTGATTCTGTGATTCTCTGATTCCCATTCCTATGGCAGCACATGCTTGAGGCTCTATCCCCAGGGGGATAGAGATGTTTGTCCATATCTATCTCCAAGGTTAGTCTGTAAATGTGTGGTGTTAGAAAAGAAGGATAAGTTCTGGGATGATTCTAGAAGGAGAAAGAAGCCCCCAGGCCAGTGCAGGCAGGCAGCCCTGAGCTTGCACCTCATGTCCCCTCCCTGCAGGTTCCTGTCCTTGAGCCCAGGCCCTGAGAACTGGCTCGGAGGTGAGCCCAGAGCTGGCCCTGAGGTGAGGCTGAGAAGTGGCGCGGAGGTGAGCCCAGAGCTGGCCCTGAGGTGAGGCTGAGAATAAGTGCAAGGCAGAGGTGCTGCTGAGGAAGGAGAGCCCCGTGGTGGGGAAGAGGCCAAGCTGTGAGTGCCCAGCCCCAAGAAGGTGCTGTGTCCATCCCCTGTGTGCCAGGTGAGCTGGGGCTTTGCTGCAGAGCTGCGGGCGCTGATTTGAGCAGCTCCAAGTGCTGAGCTGGTGGCACCCAGGAACACAAACTGTGCCTGGCCACGGAGCCTGCAAGGAGGAACAGAGACAACCCTGGCAGTGTGGGGGGCCAGGTTGTCCCTGTGCCTTCCCCTGCAGGCCCTGGCTGTCCCTGCTGGGCCCCTGTCCATCCCCATCAGGTCCCTGACCGTCCCCCCCGGGCTGAGCTCCCCCCAGGAAGTGCCGTGGAGCTGAAACTGCTGCCATCCCCCCCTGCAGCCGCTGCCCCAGCCAAGGGAGCAGCAAAGGCAGGGCCAGGAGCAGAGGCAGCAGCAAGGGAGCCCTGGGGGGGCCGTGAAGCTCTTGTGTGGGTCAGGAAAGAGGTGCTGGGCATGAGGCCGGGGCTGTGCTGAGCAGACCCAGCCCTCACATCCCCCCAACCAACGCCGGCTGCCCGGGGGGCTTGGGAGGGACCCCCAGCCTGTGTGCCCCACACTGAGCTGGCAGAGAGAGAGCCAAGGGACAGGGATGTGGGCAGGGACATGGGTGAGGGACATCCAGGGACATTGCAGGGACATGGTGAGGGTGCAACCTGTGGCAGCAGAGCTGCCCAGGGCCAGGGGCAGCTGGAGGTGTTGGTACCAGCCACTGATGGGGCTGAGCAGAGCGCAAGTCCTCCTCCAGACACCTGGAGCAGCCTCACACTTGCCAGTGATGCCAAAAACGGCATAAAACAACTGCTCAGAGACAAAATTTGATCTTTAAGCAGCAAGGGTATTTATTCTGTGCAACGTTGAAGAACTACCAGTTTGTGCTGGGCACAATAGCTCTAAAGTTTTCAGTGAAAAGGCGTGCAATTTATACAGTCTTGGTGAGGGATTACAATATTTTATGTGAATATTCATTAAAATTACAACACCTAGTTATAATCTTGATATTAGGCAGGGTTCAGGTGGAGCTTGAGGCAGAACCATCCTTTTGGGGAGGTTTCTGGGGGTTGTTCCTGTTTCTTTGGCCTCCTGAAGGTCGTTTCTCTGTTTCTCATCGTCATGAACTTTTTAACTCTTCCTGACTATGTGCGAAAGTCTTACTAAAATTCCTTTACTCAGCTCTTCACCCCCCTAAATGTCCATCCTATCTAATTTATGACTACTAGGTCAACCATTTTGTTATCTTTCATCAGAATAGAGCATACCAAGACAGGTAGGCCTCTCGGAGCCTGGTACCTTCTCTCCCTTAATTAATCTCATAACACATGTTCTCTGTCACTTTAACCTAAATGCAGCATTCGTCATCTGTGAGCCTCTTCTCAGAGCAGGATTCAGCATCTAAAAATCCTTGCTCTGTTTCACCAGTCCCACCCTTGTGGGGTGACACTGTCCCCTCCCTACAGGACACTCCCCCAGAAATCTTTGGGGGGGGCTTTTGTGTATATTCCCGGTTGCTGATTCACGCTGGGGACCTGAGGGACCCTCTGCAATCCCATCCATGGGGCACAATCTGCTCTCCAGAGCTTGACTCACTGCAGACTTTGCAGGGAAATCTGTGCTTGCAACCTGAGGATGTCCCAACCCCCCGTGCTCCCCCCAGGGTATTTGGGATGAGTTCTCCCTTCCTGGGCACCCATGGGATGGGGGGGGCAATTGTTCTCCTGCTGTTGCTGTTGTTGCTCCGCCCCTGTCCCTGCGCTTCCTGCCGCTGTCGGGTGAGTGGAGCGACCACGATGGGAAAGGGGCGAGAGAAGCGAAAAGAGCGGGTGGGACCCCCAAAGGGAGCGCGAGGGGCGGTGGGTCACCCCCAAAGGGAGCTGGGGGGAGCGGGGGTTTGGGGGGCCGATGGGAAAGGGGTGGGACAGGGGGGCTAAGGGGAGGGGGGAGAGAGGGAACGGGGTTGCTGTGGGGGTGCCTCAGTGTCCCCATGCCTTAATTCCTGGAGGGTGGGGGAGGCTGGAGACAGGGGGAAGCTGCGAGAGCCCCGAGAGCCTGGAGATGGGGGAGCTTGGGCCCCCTGTGCTGAGCCAACGGTCAGGGCTGTGCTGTTGGTGTCAAATTGCCCCTGGTCAGGCTGAACCCAGAGCCTGCCCATGTGTCAGGGGGCCCGATCCACTCCCTGCTCTCATTGCCCTGGGGCTGCCTCTGGTGTCCCCCCGCCTGTGGGGCTGTTTGGTTGCCTTGGGCACAGCCGGCCCTTGTGCAGGGCTGTGCCCTTGGGGGCTCTTGGGGGTGGGCGGGAGGTGTTTTTTGGGCGTGTTGGGGGCAGAACCCCGGCGGTGGGCGGTGGGAAGCGGGTCCCCCCCTGTGTTGGGGGTTGGTGTTGCTGGGTCAGGCCCCGCCAGCTCCATTGTCAGCCCGGAGCCGGTGGGGGGGACACAGCGGTTTTAGGGCCCCCCAGGAGTGCTGGGGGTGGGTGTGGAGCCCGGGAGCTGCCGAGTGTGGAGGGCGGAGCGGGGCGATACCAGAGCTGGGGGACCCCCGGCAACCTGGAGGGGGGAGCACGGAGAGGGAGGAGCCCCGGGACCTCTGGGAGCCTGAAACGGGGTGTGGAGAAGGGGAAGCCTGGACAGTGGGGACCCCTAAGATCCCCAGGACAACAAAGTGGAGAACCTGGAGAGGGGGAATGTCTGGGAATGCGGCACCCTGAAGGCGAGAGTCAGAGGAGAAGGGACCCTTGGGACCCCCACAACTCCCAGCATCCATAAGTGGGACCCCCAGCATCCCAGAGAGGGGAGACCCTCTGAATCCCAGAGGGGAGAGACCAGAGAGGGGGAACTTCTGGGAGAGATTTTTTTGCCTAATCTTCATGTTTTGGAGTATTTTTTAGCTGAATCTCAAGGTTTTGCATTTTGGGGGGACGAGGTCTTCTTGCTATTTCTGAGGGACTTTTTACCTGAATCTGGGTAGTTTGGGTTTTTCTGGGCTGAATCTTTGTGTTTTGGAGGTTTTTATGGTCACAGGATGCCCTGTGAGTTCTAGAGATGAACTTGGGCAGGAGGAAGCCCCAAGCCAACATGCCTAGCCGTTGTTTCCCCCCCACAGCAGGATTTCTCCTTCCCAAAGCTTGAGTGGATGGAGGAGGAGGCTGCGAGGAAGAGGAAGATGCCCCGGGACCCCCAGGCAGGTGAGGAGGAAGTCAGTGCCCCTTTGCCCCTGTCTTGTCCTGTATCTCCCAGCTGAGCATGGCCCCGGCTGCAGGACAACCCCGCTGCCGCCGCCGTCCTGCCGGGGCCGGAGTTGGGGGGATGTCTTTGGCCTTCCCTCTGGGCCGGAGGCAAATCCCCTCCCTGTCCTTCCTTCCTGCCCCAGGCCCCGAGCTGAGGACGGAGAGCACGGAGGACAAATCCCCCCGGCAGAGCCTGGTGGGAGAGGCCGTTTTGAAGGGCTCCACGGTGCAGGAAGGCAGTGGGGAGGGAAAGCCACGAAGGTCCCCCAGGAGGAGGGTCTCCAAAGCCAGCCCAGGGTGCTCTGAGGAGGAAAGAGCCAGCCTGTGCCGGGAAGGTGACAAGAGCTTGAGCCAGAGCTCCAAACTGGTGGTGCCTGAGCAGCCTCCCAGCAGGGAGAAGCCCTTTAAGTGCTTGGAATGTGGGAAGACCTTCAGCAAGAGAGACCACCTGATCCGCCACCAGCACACCCAAACTGGGGAATGGCGCTACAAGTGTGGGGAATGTGGGAAGAACTTCAGGGACAGCACCGACCTGATCCGACACCAGCACATTCACACTGGGGAGCGACCCTACATGTGTAGGGAATGTGGGAAGAGCTTCAGGATCAATTCCCACCTCCATGCCCACCAACTCATCCACACCGGGGAACGACCCTACAAGTGCTTGGAATGTGGGAAAAGGTTTCAGACCAGCTCAGATGTCCTCAGGCATGAGCGGACACACACGGATGAGAGGCCCTTCCACTGCACTGACTGCGGGAAGAGCTTCAACCGCAACTCCACCCTCGTCAGGCACCGGCGCATCCACAGCGGGGAGAGGCCCTACGAGTGTGAGGAGTGTGGGAAGAGCTTCACCAGGAGCTCTACCTTGACCTCACATCAACGGACCCACCAGTAAGGGAAGCTCTACCACTGCCCTGACTGCGGGAAGAGCTTCGACCGTTGCTTCCACCCCGAATGAACCCCCTGATGGTGAGGCAGCCCCTGGAGTCCAGTGACTGTCAGTCCATCCCTTTTGACCACAAAGGGCCAGTCCCCTTTCTTAGGGGCAGGTTCTTCCAACAGAACCCTTCCTGTGGGGGTGTGTGGAGATTCCTGCCTTGGCTGGGGACCCCCCCAAGGTCACTCCTAGAGGTTGAGAGCAGAGATCTCCCCACGAGCGTTGGTCTGGGGTAGTTCCATACATGTGTAATTAATAATTGCTTTTGTATCAGCTTTAGTACAATTGCTTCAGCTGTTGCTTTAGTGTAGAGCACTGTCTTATCTCATCCTGTACTCCTGGTAGTTTTAGTGTTTCTATTGTGCAGTAAATAATTCTGATGAAGATCTTTTGTCTGATCATTTGTAACCCTAAATAATTCATTTCTATCAATAGATCTGATTTGCCATCATTAAAACCTGGGGAACAAAAGTGTTTCAGTCACATCTCTGTAATTCCTCTAAACTGAAACTGTTGGCATAATCCAAGGCTGAGGTTGGATCCAGCAGCCTCCAGCACCCCACAGTAAGTTGGGAGCTCAGGCGGGCCACCCCCCTTTGCCAACCTCCCTGTGCCCAAAGACCCTCATGGGACTGTTGGACCTGCCAGACCACCCTCCCCTTTTCCACCCTTCTCCCTGTTCCTTCCACTTTTCCATGGTCCCCTCCATCCCCAACCCCCACAGGATTGCTCTGGGGGTCCCAACCCCCATTTTTTCTGCCTCTCCCACCACCTCCACATCATCCCCCCACTCCTCAGCCTCCTCATCTTCAGTTTGGGGG